GGGCACCACCTTTCCGGTGTCGTCCACTGCGCGCACCACCGCCTCGGGGCCGTTCACGGCGGGCACCACCTCTCCGGTGCCGTTCAAGGCGGGCACCACCACCTCAGGTGGCGTCCACGGCGGGCACCACCGCTCCGGTGCCGTTCACGGCGGGCACCACCTTTCCGGTGTCCTCCACTGCGCACACCACCGCCTCGGTGCCGTTCACGGCGGGCACCATCTTCTCGATGTCGTCCACTGCGCGCACTACCTCTCCGGTGCCGTTCAAGGCGGGCACCACCGCCTCGGTGCCATTCACGGCGGGCACCACGGCCTCCACGCGGCGGCGTCCACGACGTGGTGCCTTATTTATTTATTCGAAACCAGTTGTTAAATATTGATATAACGAGAAAATGCTATTTCTCCTGCCAAGTCTTCCAGAGCTACAGATTCGAAGCGGGGTCTTTAGGTCGCCTTTGCCGCTTTACTTACAAAACTTAATTACGTCCATGGTGATTTTCTAGGAATAGGATACCTGCTAACTCTACACTTCTATAATATATTTCCTAAAGACGGTTAATCCTACTTTCAACACAAAAGCTCTTTCGGAAAATTCTCGAAAAGTGGACCTAAGATCCACCGTTCGTGCCTCAAACGGCACTTACTTAGGCTCATATTTCGATCGAATCAAATAATAAAAGCTTACAGTAAATTCCTTTTGTGTATCGAACATTTGTCCACAAACAGTGCAGTTGTGTTGAAGTCGTAGATGGTTCTCCATAAAATGTTGGTTGAACGATATGGCATCTCCATAGGATGTGCCGCATTCAGCACAGAAACGCATTGCTCGACGTACTTCAAAATGGGACACGAGATGGAGTAGGCGAGCCTGTACAGACAGCATAGATATTGACTGGACACGGCAGAAAACCCGAAACTTCATGCATTGACTGAGCTGTTGACTTGTACTTGAGATACAACCGATTTTTCCGTAAACTCATTTTACTGTGTTGACTGAGCTGTTGACTTGTACTTGAGATACAACCGATTTTTCCGTAAACTCATTTTACTGTGTTGAATATGAAGTTTTCCAGACTAGCCATACTTTCGCCTTAGAAACTAACTGAATTAAAAATTTTAAAAAATAGAGAACAAAACTCAATTAACCAGTTACACGTCACGGTTTGTATATACCCCGAAATAGCCGTTCTCAATGTGTTCCATCGTTTTCCGTTGATGAACGGGCCTTGAACTGCTTAAACCGTCCTGGGCCCCAAAGGATAAACAAGTGTTTGTGTCAGAACAGCTAGAAAGTGTCCACAACTAAGTACTCCCATTTCTGCACTGGCAGCGAGCCAAAGATCCAGCAAGGTTTTGCAAGGCCTTCTTTATGTTCAATTATGATAGGAAGATAGAATAGAAATTATTTACTATGTCATGGCATTTTCATTCACGTCCTCCTGCTCCCTCCCAGCCCCCGCCCCTCTCCTTCCTCATCACCTGCCCCACTCTTCTCTCCAAAGGTCTTATGAAAATAGCTTTCCATGATTTGGAGGGAATCCGGCTCTTAGAGGCATCCCACCACACAGATTGACACCCACTCCAAGTATCTTACTCTTGCAAAGTTTTCAGTTGTGATCAATCACTAGGGAAAGACTACCATGGAGGACACTCTCCTTCTCGAGAGTGCACCCCTTCACGTCCCTCCTCCTCCCCTGTCCCTGCCACCCCCTTCCTTTGCTTTACTCACCCCTCGTTCTTTCCCTCGATTAGAGCGTTTATCGCACACACTACCCCGGAAGCAGAACGTTTACGAGTACAGCGGGAGCGGGCAACAAAAACTCGAGCCTGCACAGAGCGATAATTTAGTAAAGGCGTCAAATATAGGGCGTGCTGTGTGGGTCACGTACAACGTACATAATACACGTTCCAGATTGCATTACATACAATTCCGTGGTTGCTCATGAAAGGCATATAGCATGTTTTTCTAATTTCATTAGTTATCTTTTCTTTGACTGGAAAAGTTGGGGTGTGTAGCATTGATCCTTCATTGGTGTCTAGAACTTTGCTGTTTTAGTCAGAAGTATCGGTAGGATTGTAATCTATGTGTCCTATTGATTTGCGTAGCCAGTGGAGGGGAATCTGGAATCCTATTGATAGGGACCTGTGGATTTTCTGGTGATCTCACTGCAGTAAATATTGCATAAGTTTCGTAGCTGGTTAATAGACCATGGANCCCTCGGGGGGGGGGGGGGGGGGGGGGGGGGGGTGAGGGTCAGTAGAAGGTAATTTGTTCCATTCGGTTTATTTTTGCTTTCTTTGCGGTACTTCAACGCCGAACTCAAAGAAATATCACGCTTATAGAAAGAATTCCTCAGGGTTATCAAACTATTCTTTTCACGCTAAAAATGGTATGAATGGTCCTCAGGGTTATCAAACTATTCTTTTCACGTTAAAAATGGTAT